GCCAGCACGCTGGCTGCCATCATAGTTGAAGTGGGTATGAGCCAGCACGCTGGCTGCCATCATAGCGGAGTGGGAAAGCCAGTGAGCTGGCTCCCATAATCTAGATGGCAAAGCCAGCACGCTGGCTGCCATAGTATTCTTATATAGATGTATATATGTATGTATAGATAGTAGGTGGCAAAGCCAGCATAAAGCAGATGTTCATGAAATTGTTTCGTTTCGTGTTCGTGGCTCAAGCAGAGAGACCGCAGCAATTTCCAAGTGAGTTCGCGCAAGTCTCCACAGACTGTAGCCGGGAACGTACAGCAAGGCAAGAGTCGTGAAGAATGTACTTGCAAGAAGTTTCAACACACCTCAGAAGCTTCTCGTCAAGAGGCGCGCGGACCATGGCCAGTCTGCAGGACGCAGTTCTGCGAAACGCGGAGGCAGCGGGTCAGCAGGAGCAAGAGGGAGAGCGGCTGCGAGACGGACACCGGGAGGGAGGCGCGGCGTGGTTGCGGACCGAGTTGGAGGCCAAGAACCGCGCCGACTTGCGACGGCTGTGCGCTTTGTTGGGGCTGCCCAGTTGGCCCAGATGGTCGCCGCCGTGTCTCCGGAGCGGACAACGCAGTGAGAGTCTCCCCGACGCAGAGTGTCACCTAGATGTTCACATGGTAACTGCATGTCTCATACCACGAATTCTTCTTGCGGAAGCACGACAAGTATAGACATAGTGTCGGGGAGTCTCTGCCCTATACAAGGGCTAGTCGCGAGCTGAACGACCAGAGGATACGAAAACATGCGCGGTGCCTGCTATGTGTCACCTCGTGCTACTTTGTTGCATGTTTCTGTAGGAGAGGCGATTGGAAAATGACCAGCATGGTGGTTCTCAATTACATCTAGAGCGAAGCACATGTCACCCTCAGAGCGCCTGTGCCAACAGACTGTGCGTTTTCCGTGACTGACCTTTCGGGGCTCACAGTGACATTGCAGAAGTCTCCATACAACTTGGGCCAACTACAACAATATCAACTCAACAGCAATGAAGAATATACTAGCAAGAAGTTTGAACGCGCCCCACAAGCTTTTGCAATATTCATTTCCCACATAAACCTTTACCAGGCAAACCGAGCCTTCTTATGGCTATGCATGCGCTATTTACTACTTTACAGCCCACTAGCTCGTAGGTCTCCCTCTTTGCCCAGCCATCATGCCAGGGAACCTTGGCATTGTTGACGACCACTTCTTGTATACCAACCTGGATAACCAGAGACAGGTGTGCCTCTGTTGGTCCTATGGAAGCAGGACATACCATGACGACCAGCCAGAGCTCATCCATGAAAGATGGCCAAACCAGTCCATAGCAACCAGATGCTGGGTTGCCCATGGAGAAACCTGGCAGTTTTGGCGAGTGGTCCAGTGGTCCAGTGGATGGGAAGACTGGGTTAGGAACAACAGCCGCAACTTCACAGATGCCTACACCATCCGGATCTGCTTCGGGTGGACGCGCTAGACCCAACCAACTGTGTGTCTCATGCCGTGACTTCTTCCTGATAAATTCTGTGTGGACGTCGTTCTGCGGAAGCACTACGCTATCCTTGCTGTGTACAAAGACTAGTCGCGAGCCGAACAACGAGAGTGCGCTAAAACATCTACAGTGCCTGCTGTGTGTCACTTCACGCTACTTTGTCACGTTTTTCTCTGAAACAGTCAATTTCTCTGAGACAGTCAATTACTCAATGACAAGCATAGTGGTTGGTTATACTCAAATATCTACTCAACAGCAGTGACGAATATACTTGGAAGAAGGTTCACGCAACCCACAAGCTTTTGCAATCGCACATGAACCAGACCCTTCTTATTCCTCTTTGCCCAGCCATCATGCCAGGGAACCTTGGCATTGTTGACGACCACTTCTTCAGCGTCAACCAGGATGACCAGAGGCAGATGAT